TTGTGTCACACGTGTTCGAAAGTATGGATGTCTCAGTGAATTGCAGAGACGCTGATCGTTTGAGTCAACCGAGTTATAAATTTCATGCTGGCTGTGTATACTATTCAAAAGTTGAGAAAGTGGTGTATACAAAAGTTGCTTATAAATTACCAAGAAATTAGGACTTAGGGTAAGTAAGTTGACAAAAAGTGAACAGTCACTTACTTACATAAGCATAGCAGATAAATTAACATACACTTCTGAATATTATGAAGTTAGGCGAAAACTGTGACCAAGTTCTATAAGTGTTTTTAGTAGTTTTTGTCAACTTTTGACATGAAAATAAACCTTACATAATAAGACAAAACCAGCATTATTGAATGTGAATGAGAGGAAACAAATCTACAAGTAAATATTTACTCGTGGATATTATACGAACCATTAGCTGTAAGTGAAATATGCCCGCCATAATATTCTATTGCTTTGCAGCAGTAGTTTATCCGGTCTTACTCAGCTCATAAAGCCGAATCATTTCGAACCATCCAGCCCCAAACGAGATGAAAGCCGTCTGGTATTTAAACCACTTCAATATGGCTAGCAAAACTACGGGTTGATGTGAATGGTATACCTGTACAGTCAGTAGTATTTAGTTTTATACAGTTATGCTTTCTTTCTTGAATGCCATTGATGGTATCAAGCAGATCACCTATTTTGATCTAGATGATTTATATTCACCTAATAGGATATGTTATTGCCTTCTTCAGGCTAGTTAGACTTTTTATTTGAGCTAATCTACGACTGTCTTCAAGAGGAAATTTCCAACTGTTGAAACAGCGGATTAATGAGTCAGAAAGGCAGTTTTCTGTTAATAAGGGTTGACAAAAAAAGGTGAGATGACTACTTAAAGAAGAACAAATAGGTAATTATAAATACTCATGTAAAGAACTACTTTGTGGAAAAAACCTTCAGATTTCTCTGAAGATGACAATCAACTTTTCTTAAACGTTAAGTGTCGCTTGAAATCTATCATATATATATATATATATATATACGTTCTCAGTGGAACGTAGGGCTTCAGGCTAGAGCTTTGAAGTTTCGGTATCAGTGGTATCAATTTTTACGGGATGGGGTTGCTAGCCTCAACCTTCTCTCTTTACTTGTCTTATTGCTAGCTTAAGGAGGTAAAGGAGTGCGCCGCATGGGTATTGAACCCCGAACCACATGCGTAGTTGGCGAGCATTCTTCCGCTGTGCCACCGACGCACGCGCAACCAAGCAGTCTCCGAAAATCTATTGTGAACAAAAACACCTCCACGGAAACTTTCAGCTAAGGTTGATAATTAATTGGGTATGACAGTTAATTATCTTTGTCTCGCATATATTCTACGTGATAGTCAGTTAAGTCTAGGGACATGTTATCATTTCACTTAACTTGCTTTAACATTCACTGATTTACATTTCAGTAGTCAAATTAAGCTGATTAAACATATTTAGTTTGGGCACCGCTGCAGATAGTTTAATTTATTGGGAAGTGTATCACTAAAGCATTCAAGAAACTTTTCATCTCCTCTGAACGTCATGTTGATAGGCACTGACAGTTAGATGTTTCTGGATTTCTTACGAGAACGGGAACATGGTAGTTTAATAGACATGGTGAGAGTTTATGATGTACTTCTTTCTGACAGTAATTACTTTGGTTCAGCGGATACAAGAAGTGCTTTATTTTCCCTATTTTTTGCTTCAGATTCATCATCTTTAATCTGTGAGTGTTTTTTGCTGCACAAAGTAGGCGAGCTTTCACTATCTGCAATTTGATATTTATCATTTTTGCACACGTCTACTCCTACCTGCTTCAACCGTTTACTACATCCCACTGTTATTACGTATTTCCTATTGATGTTAGAAATTGGTTGAAAAGTGATTAATGACATCCCCTATCATTTTGTGCAGTTATCAGGTAAGTGATCCACTTTCACCTTAAATTTATCTAGTACTGCTACTACTACTACTACTACTATGCTATTGATCACATTACTTATTCACTTATTTATCAGCCTACATTAAGTTAGACAATAGTAGCATCACTTCTTCTTTTCATACTATTAAATGGTTAAAATTATCTATTTTTACTACAACCTGATAATTTTCAGTGTTTTTTGTCTTATATACACTCGTAGTGTACATGCGCCTATGTGTATGTATGTGTTTTAGTGTTGTAGTAGTTTACTGCAAGTTATGCGAAAGTATGCAAAACAAAAGGCTGAAGAACAAGTCAAAACTACGAATGTACACAGAAGAAGAAACTATACAGTCATATCAAAGTTAGATAATAATCGCTGGAAATAATAAAACCTCGAGTGGATGATAGATGGATAGATGAAAAGCAGTAAATATACTATAACAGTCTTACACTACAACACATTCTTTGGCAGTTTAACCTTTAGTTATCCAAAGAAAAGAGGAATATCGAAAAAAAAAAATTATATCTCTGGTTGGGATAGAACAAATGAAAAAAAACGAGTAATAATCGCCCATCAAAAGAATATATCACCTGTTTCTCACATATGTATATATGTATTTTTTCTCAGTTTTATTTTTGGTGTTGATGTCTATACTTATATGGGCTAGTGTGAAAAACATAGCCCAGAAATGCTGTTATTTTTTGCCTTTCCATGCAGCATTTCAATTAATATGTTACCCAACACGTTTCTTGTTTTGTTTACTTCACCAGAAAATGCATAGACATTTCAGTATGTGTGAGTTTATAGTAGGCGCAAACTGAAACTGTATAGCAATATTATAATTCCATATATATACATATATATTAAATATGAATGTATTATGTATATATGGCAGCATTAAACTTGGAAAGAGCCATGGAGCTGAAACGTAATTTTGATCTTCCAATCCCAACCCTAATCTTCCCTTAACATAACCTTATTCTACCTAGAACCAACCTTAAAATCCCCCTTATTAGGTTAACCTGACGATATCCTGACCCATGCCTAAACTTAACATTAATCTTTCTCAAACCTAAACTAAAAATAACCAGATATTCTGCCTAACGTCGTAACACTTCATTCAGCACTTTTTTTCTTCATGAACACAGTGGTTTCTCAGACTTGCTGACTTCTTGTTGCAAGGTAACTGGTGCGTTTGTACTTCTGCAAGCCGTCACCCTACACTATGTTAGGTGCTATGCAAGGGATTTATGTGCTTTTGATTCCCGTTAAAGGTATGAAAATAATTGGCAATTTCTTAGAGATAATGTTACCGACACCTGTTGACAGTAGCATGCCTCATCTACATGTTCCACTTACTAATAAGCAAACGTAAAAATGAAGTTGAGATTACATTGATGTCTTATTAATGCATAGCATTCATAATCATGAGTCAATCAAGTGCTAACAGTTGAAAGGTACAACACAGCTGCAATATGGAAGTTGTTAGCAGACCTGTGTGCTTATTATCTACTAAATAAAGAGAATCTTAAAAATCCAAACATATCTGTAAATTATGGTTTCATTTTCACTGCTTTGAAATTTCACGTACAGCCAAATGGAATTACATATGCCAAATGACTACGGACTTTTGACGGTCGACTGACTATGACTGAACCCAGAAAAGAGGGACATGCAGTTCATTAACTTGAAAATCAGTCGTACTGAGAATAGTTTTTGATTTAATAGTGGAATGATCAAGGTAGATTTAGGTTACGAAATTAATTCGAAATTGAACTGCAGTAAAGAAATACTATGAGTGCGTACATTAACATTGACAATAAATCTCTGAGACACTTATTTAAGGAACATTTATGAATATTATTCTTCCCTAGACAACTGTTTACACTTATTTTGTACTTGTTATTTTCACCTACTTTGCAGAGACTGTGCATTGGTGTTTCAATACTCGCCAACCACGCATGTGGTGGTGGTTCGATTCCTGACCAAAACCCATTTGACTAGCCGATAGTAAGTACGGGAAAGGTAAAAGGTTGGGCAAGAAGCCAGCAGTTTTATCCCGCAAAAGGAGCACTATCGGAACAGAAACTTTAGAGCATGGAGCTCCAAATTTCAATCGGAACACAAGAAGGGAGAGTACAACAATCGTTTACTACAATGCATAGATTATGAAAACAGTCGCTTTTGTTACTTTTTAAAGACTTGAAGACCATGATTTCAGTTAAAGAAAAGTTACACTTTTAAGTTTTATGTATAATTTATTGATTTTGTTACATTCACAATATAAAAAGTATAAATAAAACTTGGTGTGTTTTCAAACAGTCGACTAAGACTCCACTTCTGATTATCATTTATCCGTAAGCTATAAAAGAGATACTTTTGTCCCTGCCTGTCAACAACGAAATACACAAAAGCCCTACTGTGATTCAATATTGTATATTTCAGTGCCGTCTAGAAGACTAGAATTCCAGAGGAAATAGAATCTCTGAAGTTTCTACCGTTCATTATTGATGAGTACTATACAGAGTGTAGTATTATTCAAGAACTCTCCTAGATAAAACCCAGTCGGCCAGCCTTCACTACTTTTAACCAGTAGTGGTGCTGTCTTTAGACTAACATTCCCTAACTGTTGGAATACACAATCGACAGCCACGATATTTATTGTTATCCAGTTAGAGATGGTCTTCAGTATAAAACAAATTATGAGCAGAATGTTTTTTTTCTCTGGTTGTATATTTCCGGTCATTTCGAACAGAATGAAACTACTCAGCCTGTGCACTTTTAAGGAGTTAGGAACATTCCTAGGACAACAGATTTCAAGTAAGATTATTTAAATCTGTTGTTTTCAATGTATATCAAATTTAAGCCCACTGCAACATTTAGAATTAAATATTGAGTGGTATAAGTGGTTGTTTCACTTATCAGTTTGACCGGATTTATACAGTTTACATTTGCGCATTTCTTGTGCTAAAGCACCACGGTCAGTTTAATATAGGCTATCAACCTGTATGATCATTCACTCGTGATTTATTATACTGTTTTAAAATAATAATGAGCTCACTTTTATTGTTTTATTTTGCAGCTTCATTTTATTTAGTAGTCGAATGGCTCGTTCAGCATCTGAAGCGTCCACATAATTCACAAATCCATAACCCAAACTTTGACCTGAAATAAATGTTGAATATTTTGTTTTTGTTAGTAAAAGAATTACAGAATGGATTAATGAGAGAGGTGCAGAAAAATGCAAGAAGTTTCTGCTCATTTAAATCAATTTGTAAGTTAATCCGTAATATTATGAAAAACGTTTTCTTTTATTCGTAATATTATCTGGAATCTCCTTGGATGTTCAGACTACTGATAACAATTTAATGGGCGATAATTGAAGGTGGGTTACAAATCTGGGTCCCAGTAGGATTCAAACCAAAAGCCCCTCACCGTAATTGCGAACCCAGCGCTCTACTAGCTAAGGCGGGGAACTATAGAGATTTCCACTCTGAAGTGTAATGTTCAGTTTCGCGGTTGCTAACAAACTTTGACTGTGGCTGTTTTACTGCACTGAAGAGTATCTGAGATATCGTTTTCTCCAGAAACGAATGTATCCGCATTTCGTGTCCTTCTAGTTAATATGTAGATCACTCCACGTAATTATTTGTGAAATAGAAGTGTTCAGAAGTAACGTTCACATAATCACAACTTGGAATGACCAAGGTTTATTCAGTATAACAGAGAGAAAATTAAATGAATATGAATATTATCAAGGCTAGCTACATATTAATATTTTTCTCTGTCGACAAAATGACTCTCACTACTTAATGCTCACAATTATAACTAGTAGAGGTCTAAAAAATGGTGACTAGTTGAATTACTATGCCAAAAAAGTATGTATTGTTTACACATTAATGTTAAAGATATTATAAAACTAAAGGCATAATTTGCTAAACTCCATGTAGAATACTTTAAGAGATGGAGATGGGAACTACAGTAAAGTACTCTAATTTATTAGTTATTTGTTCCGCAGGAAAGTGAAAGAACAATCAGTAATATGCTAAGTTCAGGTTGCCATCAGTATTCAAAGTCTAGAGTAGATGATCTTAGCTTCCATAAAATAGGCAGTGAGTTTAGATGTTTCTATGGATTTATATAATTCAAGAGGTCCATTCTTGCGTTGACCATGTATATCATATCAATACAAAGCTGACAGAATATATGTAATTGAAATCTCCGAAACAACTGTAATCTCAAAATATGTTTTTAGTGGTGATCCTAGTGACTGGACTCATCAGTGGAACTCAGTTTAAATAAACTGGTAATTTTCAACACTTAACAGTGGGTAGATTCTAGAAAACTGAGTGATTACTCTACAGTACTAACAGCACTGAGATACTAGACCATCTGTCTTTTTAATATTCAAATTTAGACAACTTGTTGCTAGAAAGCAACATTTTTTTTGAATGTAGAATCTGCATATTTGAAGTCTTATCAATTAAAGTTAGATGTCAGTTAGCTTTCTGAAATCTCGTAGAAGAAAATTGTGGACAGTTGGGACAGGACTCCGTTTTCTTGATGGACTGTCCAGATTTACCCAGGATTTTACATTGGAATCAGTCCCATCAATGTGAAGTCCTTTGAATGACGAAAAATTGACTAATTCGCAGGTTAAGTGAAATAACGGTAGTAAATTGACAGTGTACGTCCTTCAGAAGTGATTAAGGCTATAAAAAAGTCTCTAGGAAAAGTGGGAATGAAACCCAATAAAATGATTGACACTTATTTCTTTATGCCAAAGAAACGGAGTGTTATGTTTTTATTTTGCTCACCTGTCACTTTATCACGAATTAATTTACAACTGGCTAACTTCCCAATTTTAGAAAATAAAGCCTTCATCTCATCTTGTGACATTGACTGAGGTAAATAGTTTACAATTAGATTTGTCCTATTCTCTTTGTTTTCAGACGAAATATCATTGATTATGCTAGACTTTTCCAACTCCGATGAACTTGCGAAATGTTGTAGACTTTCCATACTCTCCCGGTTACTGGTGTTGTTGTAGCCGTTGTTGTTGTTGTCCGTGATTGTTGTGGTGTCAGTGGTAGCGGAGGTAGAGTTGGTGCAGTTGGTAATCTGTGAAGGCGATGTTTCTCTGTGTGCTTTGTTTAGGTTTCGAATATTCGAGTTATTTTGTATGTGACTGGTCATATCTGAGAAAAAAGAAAGCAATATATATATATATATATCATATATTCGCACATTATAGTTTCAGTATTGTTACTTAAACGCAAATATAGTGCATTATCAGGGGGTGCACCACATTATCTTACTCAATGCATTCCTCACTGAAAGACAAAAATATGGGACAGATATTTTAGTAAACCCTGAAATTAATCGTGAGTGGTCTTCAGCTGCCCAAGCCGGTTATCAAATAAGAACGATGGTGTAAGGAGCTATTATTTTCCTATTTGAAGTCATTTCTTCTATTACCATTTGAACAGTTCAATTCATTAGACTTAGCAACACGTGATACAAAGCATCACAGAAGTACTCGACGCAATTCGGAACACTGAACCCAGTATTAGTGAGAAGTGTTCAAATACAGAGTAAAAGTGAATCTAACAAAGTCTTCATTGAGTGTATTTATACAGAGCGTTAATATGTCACCCTACTAGAGTCATTCTCAACTCTCTGTTTCTCCCTTGTGACATGATGAAATTATAAGTCATAGACCATAGACGAAATCTGTAATCTGTAATTCAGTAAATGCTTAATCAATGCTGTTCTGTTCACAGCGGCTCTCAATAAGAACTCCCAGTCGACATAAAATAACCAAGAAGGAAGCGAAATGTTTTTAACGAATAATATCCAGTGAATGATTAGTTCTCACTTTAGAATACTATGCTACACAAACCGACCACTGTTTTTTTAAATATGAACTAATGTGCATCAGCAATCTCAATTATTATAATAATATCAATCATCAAAAGGCTCCTGACCGGTCTCTCATTCTAACAAACTGTTTCTTTTAAGCATATTTTAATGTTTGTAGCTGTTTTTTAACAACCAATCATCAGCCAGTGACTGATGACTTCATTAACATGCTATGCCATCGTCAAGTTCCACTGAAATCGCTTCATTTTACACTATATCAGTCTTATGAAAACGGCTTTTATGCATCAAAACTTAAAGAAGCATACAATTAGTTTTAAACTCAGATGGAGATGAGGTTGACTTCTTTTTTTTAAAAGAAATTAATTACCTTTACAAAGGCTTCATTTTAAAATCATGGCAACTGGTAGTTAAGCAGCTCTAATTACATTATTAGCCTGTTAAATATCGTGGGATTGTAGTGCAATTGAATTTCCAGTGCACACACGTAAAATTTCATAAATAGGGTTATAGTCAAACATTGTTATCCATTTTTAATGTTAATTATCTATTACTGGTATAGCTAGCACATGAGTCATCCATTCTCTGTCAGGCGGTGCTAATTAACTCTGTTGTTTGGTTTTCCAATGTTTTGTAATTATCATATCATGTAGTGATAACTTTCCATTTAAGAAGTCCAACTATTTTTGAGGGAATATAATTCCAAAGGTGGTTTAATCGCCTAACTCCTTTAGAATGAACTATACACACAGACTAGACGCATATATAAGCCTAATTTTGTCTTAAATTCGGTGTAAACGGAGCAAAATAACTGTATTTATTTTTGTAGAAAATGACATATACAAGTAGGATGGTTTCGTTCCACTAGTTAAAAATTTTACTGGTTGATTAAGTTATGCTTGGATAAGTTTATTTTTATATATGTTTTGTTACCTATATTATTATGTATCGCGGTCGATGTAGGTGTGTGCTTCTGTTACTGTGTTTGCACTTAATATTGAAAATTTGATAATAAGGAAGTGTTAATGGTGATTCTGAAACTGAAGCAGATTTCTGGCAATGATTAGAACTAAGTGTTCCAGGTAAGCCTTGTCTTATGAAAAAAACACTTTTTAAATACCTTTATTATTATCCACTGTATTTCTGACTCAATTCAGAGTATTTGTTTCCTTTCTTTGTGTTCCGAGTGAAACATAGAGTTTTTACCTATAAACTTTGAAGTTTCAGTCTCAGTGGCTGCTATTCACACATCCAGGCATCCCTTTTTACTGGCTAGGCGTTTTATTCAGTGGGGAGTCGAACCTGGCTCTTGTGAGTGGTTGGCAACTACTTTACCAATGAACTATCAACTCACGCATGCATAATATACCTATTTTGTATAAGCAGCTACTGAAAAAAGTAGTGAACGCCAGATTCTATTTACTAAACTTTATTATTTCACCTAAAAATAGGCTGACAGTTAAGATCAATTCTTAAAATGTCAGTGATGAAAATTCAGCTGTTAGCAAGCAGTTACACACACTCATAATTTATAGTGATCACTTCTATTCACTGATTACTGATTACCTGAATTAGCTATCACCTAATATTACAAGCAGAGGTGAATTTATTCTCCCTGGAAAAAGTATTAGTCGACAGTAATATCTCTGTCGAGAATTTCCGGTTATAACAGAAGTTAAGTGACAAGATGAAGTTAAAGAGCAGGGAAAATTTCTTTTCATTTCGCCAACAATGTTGTCTATTTACAAAATGCTAATTAGTTGACTCCAATAATAAAAACTCTTCAAGTCGACTGTCATATTCATTATGAAAAAAGAAGAGGAAGAAAAGACGAGAAATTTAACTTAAAAAATTGAAAAAACGTCTAATGCTACTTAATATCTTGTAACTCTGACTTTATAACATAATGAGAATTTATTTCTGATTCACGAAAACTTCATCATTGGTGAGAGATGAGTGGCCTACATGGAAGCTTGAGACATTGATTACAAAACACGCGATATTTTCAAAGTCGACCTGTATGTAATATATATATATATGTATATCGAGTGATTCTCTTTCTTGACGACTCGCTTTGACTGTATTGTCAAAAAGTTATTAAAAATTCTATATTAACATTACTTTGATGATCAAGTGTTTGTTTGCAGGGATTTAACTGGTTTAAGGATTTCGCCATGAAGTGACATCGATTAGAGTGCCATTGGAAAACCTGGGAGTACTGAAGAGCTGTTTCGTCTTGGTTTGAGACTCTTCATCAGTACACGCCCATTGAAGTTCTAACGCAGAGCCTTGCGGTCACAAGGCAGACCATTAAGCCACTGGGACCCGATTTACTGGTAAGATTCCTGTTAGATGACTACAGGTAATCAGCGGGATGACTTTGACCTAGGTTTCAGGCTAGTTGGCACTCACCAGTCAGCAAAGCGTAACTGCAAACTTAAAGGAACTCATTTCCCTTCTGAGATTCGAACCTGCGTCATCCAGTGCTGCAGTCAAAGACGTTACCACTGAGCTATTCGGGCTTCAAAAAATAAAATAAAATCTCTACAAAAACCTGTAGTTGAAAATTGATCTGATGCTCACTAGTGACTGGTCCTATTCAGGCAGTTACCTGAGGTTCCAGTCGGAAGCCGTGACCAGTTGGGTACAGCATGTTGAAGGTGAGGCAGTAACTCATCGAAGAAGACGTTGCGAAATTATTTATTAATTAATTTTATTTATTTGGCCACTTTAATTTATCAGTGCTGATGATATCAGGGGAGCGGTCAAATATGACAGCGGGAAATTAAAACATGAATGAATTATTAGAAATTGATTGATTTGTACGAATACTTTGGTATGACTACAAGCGATAAATTGTGCTTGAAACTTCCTCCATGTATTGTTACTGTGTCGCACTGTGTTATGTCTAATATATCTAGCTTGTGTGAAATCTGATTAGTAACAAAGTAGGAAACAAAATCTATTCTAAGATTGACAAGCAGATAATGAGGACCTATTTGTAGAAAATCACTTAACAGATTGACTTCGAAGGTGAACTCCACTTAGTTATCTGCTCAAGGCTCCCATGATATTCAAATGAATGAAAATGGAGACTAATGTATATTTGTATTAGTCAAAAGATTTCAGGCTATCCCGTTAACCAATTAGATTTACTTTTCTTATAAGGTGAAATGTGCACATACACACACATCATAGATCCTGAGTGTCAGCGTACATTGATTTAGCTTGTGACAAACCACACTTTAAAATAAAAGTAACAGAAAAATAGGAAAGTAGTATAGTGAAATGAATACCAGACATAGAACGCTGCTCAGGAAGAGTAGAAATATTTGTAAGCAGAATGAAAATATTATTAGATGAACATGGGTAGTGAATGCGTTCGCATTACGCTGCCATAAACTTTAGACTGTCTCAGTGATTTCTCTCTTATCGTTAGTTATATGCTTCTTATTGCTTAAATGCTCACAAAGAGTAATTATTAGGCGCTTTTCTTGGTGTATTGGTTCACTGGCTCAATTTAGAAAATACATTCATCTTTTGAAGTAATGAAGTCTTAGTCTTATTTCATTGTCGGTAAAATTTATTTTGATGAAGTCTCACAGTGTTATAGAGTAAGCTTTATTGGCCACTGGTGAGAATAATAGGCAGATACAATCAACTGATACTTTAAGGATAAAAGATGAAATTCTCATTCTTAGTCGTACTGTAACCCAATATCCAGTTTTATTAACAGTAAATTAATAGCAATACTGTGGCAACGACGTCCACGCAACTTAGTTCCATGAGTAAACAATACGTAGCTGCAAAGCATACAGTCCAATTCCGTTGTTCACCTACGACTAACTGTAATAAACTACATGAAGAAAAAGTTACCTGGGAAGTTCTTTTATATCGGTTGAATGGGGAAAATTAGAAACAGAGAATCAATACAACAGAAACGTGCAACAGAAGACTAAGACCATTTATTGTAATGTGTCTTACTGGTTGTATTTTTCTAATTAGAACAGAAAGGATATACACTGTAAAGACTTGCTAACAGGTGATTTTTGCCAGACATTCCAACAACATGTTTTTTAAAGCACAATACTGCAAGGCGAATGAGAGGAATACTTTCGCTGAATTCGCCCTCTATGAGGTTGTGTGATTGCATTTATTTCCGTGGGTAAGCGTGCGTGCGCGCGCATACTACATGTGTTACTTCACTAGCAAACAGTGCTATTCGTGGTAGTGTTGTTAATTACTGTGTCCAGATAGCGAATGAGTATTTATGCACCTGCTTACGTAAAAACGAATATATATGTTTTAATACAGGTTG